TGGCGGCGATGGTGGTGTTTCTCGGCGGAGCAAAGGCGATGGACCTGTGCAACGTGACGGAAGATGGATTGACGGCGTGCAAGCCGTCGGTGGTGCAGCCTAACCCGGTGGAGCCTTCGCCGGAATGCTGCGACGCCGTTTCGGGGGCGGATTTGAAGTGCCTGTGTTCGTATAAGAACTCGTTTATGTTGCCTTCTCTTGGGATTGATCCTGATCTTGCCTTGGCACTTCCTGCCAAATGCAATATCCCTAATCCCACTGAATGTTAAATATTATCGTTTAATTTGTTGTTGGTTTCGGTGAAGTTTCATAATTAAGATTTTAAATAAAAAGTATAGTTTTTTTTTTTTTTAATCTATGGTCTAAATTTGCGATAACTTTGTAACGTGTGCTAGAAGATTATTTCATGTATGTGGATGACTATGTGAAATAAGTTTGGGGATTAAGATGTTTGTTGGATTATTATGGTACAATAAATGCAACAAAAGTTTTAGTGAGATGTTTTGGCGGTAAAATGACGATTTTGCCCTGCAATAGCTATAAAACAACCATACAGCTACATATTTTTTGGGGGGAGATATCACTGGGCTTTGACTGTGGGCTTGGCAGGCCTGGGCAAGAACACTAACGAGGCTCAATCCGGTAATTTTTTAAAATAAATAAAACCTGAAAGAATAGAACCCTATACAAATCAATTTGATAAGATGTTGTACGAGCAACTCCAATGCTAAATATCAAAATTGGATTAGCAAATGCTCATTTGATATTTATGATAATATTTTAAAATACATTTAAAACTCATCTACTCCAACAATGGTAATCAAATATTATTATCAATTGGAAGTTTTTTTTTATAATTTTATATGTAATTGGCAAATGTCAATTTGTGATTGGTTGGTTAGGTGGTTATTTTTTGATAACTCAATTTGCAGGAAGTATTTTTAGATCCAAATAGGTGAAATATTAAAATACAATCCCATTTTAATAACCCCTTTGGAGAACACAATTTTTAAAATTTAGGAGTCAAATGATAGTTAAGAGATTTGATAACTCATTTAATAACTCCATTAGTGTTGCTCTTAAGGGTATGTACGAGGCGAGCTCTCAACTTTATTTTGTCGAGCTCGAGCCCTCTCAGTTTCTTTTTTTTTTCTTCTTTCGTCTGAGTACAAGACCATTTTGTCCTAGCTAAATGCCCAAGCTCATTTTGGTTTTTTTTTTTTTTAATTATTAAAAATTATTTAAATTATAATAAAAAAATTACAAAATTAACAATAAACTATAAGAGCAACTCCAATGGGGGAATAAAATGGTGTATTAAATGATAAAACTTCCATTTTGATTCTCAAAACTCAAAATTTCTTCTCCAACGAAAGCACCAAAGGGGTAGTTTTTTTGGTACTTTATCTCCTAGAGGTGCAAAAATGCACCAAAAAAAACCAATTATCAAATATTCCTAGAAATTATGAACTGCAATTTCAACGTAAAAAAAATAAATTTTCTAACAATTTCCTATGGAATAACCAAATATATCTATTAATTTATGTTTAATATGTTTTTAAAAAATAAATAATTTGTTTAATTCCTACGTGTTGGAGCATATAAGTTTTTTCGAAGTACGAAAGTATTATTTCAAGCATCAATGAAGGATTTAGATGTATCTTTTTAATACCTAACATTGGAGTTGCTAACTATATATATTTTTAATAGTTATATAAAAGATCAGAGCACACAATGAAGGACAGCATTAATCAGCCTAGTAAAAGTGAAGATGAAAAAAAGTAACAAACTATTCACAATATTAATCCCCACTCTCCAACAAAACAAAACATAAGCGTAGGGACCACCACAAAAGTCCCTCTCCCCCAGGCGCGCATATACATACCTTTTCCGTTTCATTCCATCCCAACCCAACCCATTTCTTTTTTTTTTTTTTTTTGAGAAAAACCCAACCCATTTCAAATATACAAAACCAAACAAAATAAAGATATCCAAAGTACGATTTTGTCGTTTCACGAGGAATTACCACTGTACGGGTTTCCCAATGCAGCTCAAAATTTCCATCCATCCATCAATAACAGATTAATAAAAACCATAATTAAAAAAAGGAAGTCATTAACGGCCGTTAAGTAGCAGAAGAATTAAGCCTTCCTTCTGTTTGATTATAATAAAGCAATTAAACGTCCAAATTTACTCCTAATTAAAAAAAGTCCAAACATGAATTTAAACTAAGCAAGTAGGGTAGATAAAGAGTAAAACAGATCAACGGCTCCTAAGCTGCCACGTCAGGGGACGGTTGAAACGGGGAGGCGATAACCCAGACGTTGCCGTATGGATCCTTGACAAATGCCGTGCGACCACCAAAGCACGTGCGTTCAGCCTCGTCGGCCTCGCCACCATCTAAAACAGCACCAGCTGCCACAGCTTTGTCGACCGCAGTTTCAACGTCGTCCGTTTGCAGGGTGAAGACGCTGCCATTCATGCCAGACTTCAACCTGAAAAAATATATATATATATATATATATATATATATATATATATATATATTATTTAAGTCAGGAGTATATCGAATCAGTGGGATCACAACATTCTGCATACTGTATAATATTATTTAATTAATAAAAAAATAAATAAACCTTCTGCTACAGGTCTACACA